TTTTATCCGTACGATAATAAGGTTGAGTGGTACTACTTAAGGAATAAAAGATATTAATTAATTAAAGCAGTCAGAAGCTTTAATAACTAATGGTTGTGCGATATCTTAAACACGGGGAATTATATTAAGTCTAATAGAAGCCCTGATTCATTTCGGGATAGGACGGGAGTGCAATATTAATTCTCTAGTGGAATGAATTAATATTTACAGGCCAAATTGTGTTCTGGGCTGAACATAAGAATTTGGGCCTGTATGGAGCCCAAACCCTATACCTTCTAAGAGATCCCTAGTCTGGCCCAAGGACTCTATAAAAGGAGGGATAAGCCCACGTTCTGAAACCCTAAGAGATCAGTTCACGTCCTCATCCACCACACCAACGTGGGAGAAGGAAGAAGGAAACGTGAGGGGTTCAGAGAAGAACAAAGGCAATCCGCTCCTTTCAACCGTTTGGAGGATCGTCGTCCATCCGGCGTCCAAACGTGGTCGGGACACAGACTAGAAGATCGCTCAGATCGAATCAAAGCCTTGAAGAAAGGTATATCTCTGTTCGTCCTTTAGGAGCATGCTTAGGTTTATTCAAAATCATGTATGTACATGTTTGGTATCCGATATCGATCCGTGGGTAGGACTGCCTCGTCGGCGTGTTCCAGCAACCAAGGCTCGTGGCAGATTCAACACCCGCTTATGCGCATTAGAGCTCTTCTTCGGTCTGTCCATCACAGCATTACGCACATTTTTCGAGAGGAGAACAGACCTGCTGACTAACTTGCCAGCCTTGGCGCCTCCACACCTGACCTACAAACGTTTTAGACCGACACATTTCCACTCCGCCTTCGCACGCTGGTACGGCTGGACCAGCTTGGATATCCATCTTTCCGCTTTTAGTAGATTAGATTTGGTTCTCATTAGACCATACATTATTCCGGGCACCTGTTAACCCGATGACAGATCTTGTATTATATCCATTTTCTGTTTTGTTTTTGTTTTGATTGTGAGACTATGATCATTGTAGCTGTTTGATTTCTTTTGGCCCGTTTTGGGGTCTTGAAATATGTACAGGTTGGGGATCCAGCCCAACCCCCCGCCCTTCGGGGCGTTGTTTGTTAAAAAAAAAACTAGCAACTACTAATCTAGCACCATCAGACAACTAACCTAGCACAATCATACAACTAAACTAGCACCATCAGAAAACTAACCTAGCACCATCAGATAACTAACCTAGCACAATCATACAACTAACCTAGCACAATCATACAACTAACCTAGAAACTTATAACCTAGCACATTCATACAACTAACCTAGCACAATCATACAACTAACCTAGCGCCATCAGACAATTAACCTAGCAACTACTAACCTAGCACAATCATACAACTAACCTAGCCCAATCATACAGCACCATCAGAAATACAAACAAATGCTCTCTCCTAATTAATTAAATAATATCATGGGTCACCAACAAAATATTATTGCACTCTCTTTTTCCTAGCCCAATTTACAATTGAAACTCCAATAATAATTACTCGAATTATCTCTACATGTTTAAGATATAATGTCCATTAATTAATTCGATCACTAATAATCAAGAACTAATTAATTTATTATTATTTCACCGAAGTTAGCGCTCGTTCATCACATTATTACTATGCCGGAATTTAATCCAACTGCAGGGTTTAGCATAATAATCCTTCATGAACTCACTACGGGGATATCATCAGACTAAACGTACATGGTAACCATAAATATTCTAATAATACATCATACATATAACAATATTGCCAAGACAGTGAGTCTAATTGTCCTGTTCACGAAACCTCACCCATGTGAATCAAAGTAATAATTAGTACATATATATATA